CTCAGAGGGATTTGTGGCAGGGCAAAGGGCTGGGATCACTCACTGACCTGGGACTGGGGGGGCAGAGGAGTGATGTTGGCAGCATGGCTGGAGATGGGCAGGATGTTCAGCTGGTCATCGATCACCAGGCAGGTCTTGCACGAGGCCAGGGACAGAATGAACCTGGGCAGGCAGAGAAAACTCAGGAAAATCACCAGCAGCACTCCCTGGTGGTTCAGCTGAACTCTCTTCTAAACACAGAGAATTCACAGCTCCCCACAGCTGAGCTGCAAGTCCAGCTTCCAGAAAAAGGCCTGTTCCAATGCAGACCTGTGGGATGTTTTCCCATCAGGAACAGCCAGTGCTGCTCCTGGTGCTTTCCTTGGGTTGCCAGCCCAGCTCCTCTGCACTCTGAGCCACTCACCTCTCATTGAACCTCCCCACCACATCCTGGTGGGCCTCGGTCCTGTACCGGGAGTGAACGTCCTGAAGGAAAAAGGGAAGAAAACAGAAAGAAAATGTGACAGTGACATTTACAGGATTGTGACCCCTTCTTTCCCACTCCTGTCTCTCCATTTCCATCCACAGCACATCCCAGACAGGATCCTGACTTTGTGGTGAAACACCCACATCTGCAGCATTTCAGAAATGCCTGAGTGTAACAAACCCCATCCCATCTCCTCCCACTCCTGAATGAAGGAGCAGGAAAGATGATGGGAGGAGGATAACAGCCCACAATAGAATCAATAAACACCCACCCAGTATCACCTCAATGCAGCTACTGGTAGAGAACAGACCCACTGTGCTGCACATACCATGGTCATTGTATAGAGCTGCTTCAGGGAGTTCATAGTTCTCAGCAGGATCACCACAATTCCACCACCTTCCACTGTCTCCACAGTTCTGGCCAGCAGGTTTGGAGTCAAGGCTTCAAAATCCTGGGCAGTAAAAAGAACTTCAGAGTTGCCCAGAGTCCAGCAGAGCAGCTGGCTCCTACTGAAAGGCACAGAAAGCCTAAAAGCTTTATTCCTCCAAGTTTAATTCCCACTGAAATCTGCACTAAGCAATGCCCTGCTCCAACTCCTACCAACGAGGCCACCTCACCCTCACACCACTCGTGAGGGAAAAGCAAGGCCACCAAAACTGCAGTGACAGAAGCAACAAACCCCATTCCTGCAACATTTCAAGAGATTATTGTAGAGCCCTTTAGGGAGCCAAGGCCCTCCTGACCTGAAGGACACACATTCCAAAGGTGTTCCCCAGGATCTTGTGGGTCTCGTTGTAGTAGCAGTAGCGGATGTTTGTGGCTGCAATGAACAGCTCAAAGGGATCATCATCCTTGATGTTCAGAGTTCCACTCTTAATCTTCTTCTGGAGCTGCCTCATCCTCTTCTTCCTGTGGCTGGAGGGGAAAAAACCATACAGGAGTTTTCTTGGAGAAGGGTTTGAGGGAAGTGTGCTCAGGCTGAGCCTGGAAGTCAGAGCTCAGTCCTGAATATGACTGAGGTGAAACAGATGAGGAACCCAAGTTTTGAGGTTAAAAAAGGTTAAAAAGGGAGTTTGGCCCAGGGCAGCAGAGTCAGTATTAGAGCTAAAGGAGAAAAAACAGAGGTACTTTCTGTCAGTGCCAACTCTCTTATGGAAGCCACATTTCACTCCTGGAAGAGCAGATTTCCCCCAGCTGCTCCAGGAACAGCCCTGGCTTCCCCTCCCAGCCCTCCCCTCAGCCTGCAGCCCTGGCTGCCCAGGGAGCAGCAGGATCCAGGGCTCTCTCACCTGCTGAAGCCCAGCTCCTTCTTGTAGCACCAGAGCACAGAGGGCCTGGCCTTCACTGTGGCCTTGGACAGCATGTGGTGGAGGATGACGACCTGCCAGGGCACAGAGCACTCACAAACAGCTCTCAGGGAACACCACAAAGCAAAGTGTTCTTCTAAACTTGGTTTTACAGCTGCATTTCCACCGTGGAGAACAGAGGGGTCCCTTGGCAGGAAGTGAAGCTGTGACTGTGCTTGCTCCAGGGCTGCAGGACACTGGGTTTTACCTCCTGTGTCCTCAGCTCCCTTCTCTGCCAGCACCAACACTGATAATTCCAGGCTAAACACAGTTTTGTCTCTTATGGATAACCCATTCATATGGATTCTCCATAGAGGGTTTCAGTGAACACCACCAGAGCCGGGAGATGCCAGAACCCATCAGTAAATAATGCCAACATTCCTCTACTGCCACCTGAATAATTCCTTCTTTTCCAAGGTGATTTTTTTTTTTTAATAATTAGTTAATTTTATTTGCCCACAGACAAGAGATAAATGAATTGTCAGTTACACAGCAGTTAGAACAGAACAGCAGCAGGAGCAGGGCAGGGATTGCTCCCCTCTGCTCAGCACAGGGCAGGGCAAAACGCTGGGCTCAGTTTTGGGCCCCTCATTGCAAGAAAGACACTGAGGAGCTGGAGCATGTCCAGGGAAGGGAATGGAGCTGGAGAAGGAGCTGGAGCACCGGGAATGGCTGAGGGAGCTGGGAAAGGGGCTCAGCCTGGAGAAAAGGGGGCTCAGGGGGGACCTTATTGCTCTCCAGAGATCCCTGATGGGAAGGGGCAGCCAAGTCAGGCTCTGCTCCCAGGAACAAGAGGAGAGGAAATGGCCTCAGGCTGTGCCTCAACCTCAGGGAGGCTGAGGTTGGTTTTAAGGCAAAATCTCTTCCCTGAGTGGGCTGTTAAGTCCCCATTCCTGCAGGGATTAAAAAGCCACGCAGATCTGGCACTTGGGGACATGGGTTAGTGGCTGCTTTGTCCCTGCTGGACTCAGCGATCTCGGAGGGCTTTTCCACCCTGAACAACTCTGTGATTTCGTGAATAAACTTGTCCTAAACCACCGTGGGTTTGCCGAGCTGTTCTTTCCCTCCCCCCTCGAAAAACACAAGGCGGGAGTTCCCGAAGAAAAACAAGTTTAGCACTAAGTTTCCTCCACACAACTTCACCGAGCAGGTTCATCTCCGAGACAACTCAAAGCCCACTCCCAGAGAGAAACCACCACAGGGCAGAACCGAGGGGAAAAAAAACCCCAGCTGGCCGGAAAGTTTAACAGTTAAAAAACAAGTTAAAAACCAAACCAAGCCCACAAACCGCAGCCTGTCCTGAGCTTCACTGTCGTTCAGGAGCTTCCCAGCCAGGAGATGCCTCAGGGGGGGTCTCACACACCATTTCCAGCCCCGTCCCTGCGAGTTCCCTCCCCTCAGGCCCCGCTGCTCTGCCTGGGGCTGGCAGGGTTCAATTCCCGCTGGAGCAGAGCGGAGCAGTCCCTGAGGGATTGCGGCAGGCCCGGGCGGCTCCGGCACGGCCGTACCTGGTCCTTGCCGCGGTCTCCCACCACCACGAACAGGCTCCGCTGCCGCTCCGCCACGCCGTTCTCGATGAGGACGCGGATGCGGTTGTCCACCTTGCGGCGCTGCATGGCTGCGGCTCCTGGAGCTCCCCGGAGCTCTCCCGGCTCTCTCTGCCCGCTCTCCCGGCTCTTTCTCGTGGAGCTCTCCCGGCTCTCTCCCCGCGGCTCCTCCCCGGCCCCGCTCCCCCCGCACCACGTGGGAGCCGCCTGGGCCCGGCCGCGAGCGCCGCGCAGTGTGGGAGGACCCCGGGGCTGCCCGCGCCGGCCGCCTGCGCGACCCAGGTGTATTTCTAAATACACATTTCTGTAAAATCACACCTAAAACACACACATATACACTGCTCTGTGTGTAGAGCTCTCAAGTAGAGTAACTGAAAGTAGCTTTCCACATGGGAAGGACTTCTGTGCCCAGCCAGCTCCCAAATCCCTGCGAGACACGGAGCAGCCCCTACCGCCCACTGCTTTCCTCTTCCTTTGTCCTTTCCTTTCCTCCTTTCCTTTCAATTTCCTTTCCTTGAAATTTCCTTGAAATTTCCTTTCCTTGAAATTTCCTTCCTTTTCCTTGAAATTTCTTTGAAATTCCCTTCCCTTCCTTTCCCTTCCCTTCCCTTATTTTTTTTATAATTTATTCTAAACAAATCCTGCCTGTGACCCCTCCAGGCGTGTGGGCACAAAGAGCAAGTTTTATAAATTTGAAAATTTTGATTTTTATGAAGATAATTCCATTTCCACAACTGCCAATTGAGTCTGGGTGGCCTTTGCTCCTGGGGGAGAGGGAGAGATGACAAAACCATATATATATATATATATATATATATATATATATATACAAATATATATATACAAATATATATATATATAAAAGTATATATAAATATATATATATATATATATATATATATATATATATATATATATATACAAATATATATTTAAAACAATATATATATATTTAAAAGGGCATTCGGAGCTAGTTTTCCCAAGGAAACAGGAGCGCAGAGACCAAACAGAACACATCCAGGAAAGAACAAATCTTTAGGATTCATTGTTTCAGGACACTCAGCCATCCCCCAAGGAATATCAATGTCGGGAATCCTGCTCCTCAACAAGAGGAGGGAGCTGCTGATATTTAACTCTGCTTCTTAATAAATCCACCAGAGCTGTTGGAAAGTTTTCCCTACAAAATCCCAAGCTGCACAGCCGTGGAGCAGCAAGAAAATGATTTATCAACCTGAGCTGAAATTCCAGTAAGGTTTCAGAAACATGGAATTTTATTCTCAAGCTGTTCTAACCTTTCAATACCAAAGTTGAGCCCGGCTATTTGCATAGATAGATTTATTCTTAGCTTTGAATACTGCTTTTTTTTTTTTTTTTTTTCTACTTGAACATTCGAACAATGAAGTATTCAAAACCAAGTGACAGCGTAGGAAAAATGTGTTTAATACCACTGGATGTATTTGGGGTTGTTTCAAAACATAACAAAAATATGATAAAAATACTGAATTAATAAAGGCTGTAGAACAATTTTCTTTTAGGTGAACCCAGTTAAACCCAGTCACTGAGACAAAAACCACCAATGCAACAGAAGTGTAGCAAGACAATCCCTTTAGGTATGAAATATTTGCTTAAAAGGGAAGGACATAAAACATTTAAATAGATTTATTTGTCAAGTGTTTACATAAGCCATGGACCAATTTGTTTCCAACGCTGAGTTTAAGAACTGCAAAGACATATATACAGGTATGTTTAAGGCCATCAGAAAATTTAAACCTGACAACAAACTAAAAATTCTCAACACTTATTTTATGTGCTAGAAGCATTACTAAAATTCATTCTAAAATCCAAGAGCTTCAAAAGAGGAAGTACATTTTCATTTCTTAAAAGTCTAACAGATATTTCCTAAAATTTAGCTTGAGACCAAAATTCCAGGTGTCCTCTTGATCCTTCCTTGGGTAGAAATGGGCCAGCAGGGTTGGAAGCGAGCCAGTGACACCCTTCTGACTCTTCTATGAGTATTAGAAGAGAGGGGAAGAGAATCTTGCTTTTAATAAAACTGCAGCAAGAGCAAAAAAAAGTTAAATTCAGAATCAAATGCCAAGTTAGCCTCTAGTTTTCCTAATGCAGATATCCTACATGCTAGTCTAAGTGGCTTTTAGGAAGTGGATTTTGGAAAATAGATTTCTTTCCCTCCCTTAAGGCTGGAACCAGAGAGACACAAATTTTAATAGCATTCTATTCAAAAAGCCTCTGAAAGTGGTTCACAGAATAGCACCTCTGCCCTTAGATGAACAGTCTAGAAAAGGAAGTTTCCCATCACACTCTCCACATCACACCAAAAATACACTTCTGAAGGGCCTTCCCCACCTCCCTCCCTCTGCAAAAATGGCCAACAGGAAAATGTTGCAGTTTAAGCAATTATTCCTCTCCACGACTGAGAGTGTGCTGGCAAAAAGAAAGGAATGTTCCCAAAGCTCCCTTCTTTTTGTCAAAGTCAAAAGGTCCTTTCCTGAAGTTGTGCCACTGCCTCCACGACAGCCAAGATCAGACCAGACCAATGGAGGGCTCAGATGCATTTTAACAAATTCTCTCATTTCAGGAAAAACACCATTAGAAGGGAGCTTCCAGCAAACTCCAGACAATAATCACAAATATATTTAAGGCCAGATTTAAATAAGGAAATTGTCCTCTGAGTTCAACAGGGGAGTTTTGTTGTCTGGGCTTATTTCTTCCTTGCTCTCCAGATGTTCTGGGCCATCAGTGAAGGACACCTGCACCTTCCCAGCACATCCCTGCAAGTTCCCTGCTGCCAGCTCAAGTGAAGGGAAACCTTTTAGTCCCATCCATGCTCAGTGCAGATGGAAAACTGGAGAAACAGGTGCCCAGATTGTAGGAACTAAACCTGCCTCCTTCACACAGTGACAAACCTCAGCTGCAGCTCAAGCACCCATGCAAATACTTTGCAACAAACTTCACCCAAGAACAGTTTCACATCAGCAAGAGGGACCGTCTGAATTTCCCAGGATGTGACTGCAGCCTCATGAACAGGGCGAGGGGAATATCAAGATTCTTCCAACCAACTGGTTCTGTATCTTGCTCTGCTGCACCACAAAGATTTTGCCCTATTTGTTCTTAATCATATGAATTTTAAGAACTTCAGTATAATTGATCATCTTTGAGGTATTTATCTGCAGTTAGAGCCTCTTCAGTAACTTCTCTCTACTCAAATGCCATTTGGGAGAAAGGGAAGCTCGATCCTTTCTCCAAAGACCTGGAACACAACCAATCTTCCTAAAATCTTAAGGTTGGTGGGACATTTTGAGAAGACACATTTTTAAGGACAGGGGGTTCTCTGAGAGTTAAGGCCCAGCAGGATACATTGCCTGGTTAAGTAACAAAAGCCAACAATCCTCTTCCAACTACTCTGCCTGATGATTCAGAGATTGCTGCATACAAAAGACAGGATCTGGGGAAGAAAACAGGGGATAAGGGATGTTTAGAACCCTCTCCACAGCAAAATCCCTAAACTGCACTGGTGAACTGTTCTTAGAAAACAGCCTGTACACAGCAGAAACACAGGAGTAAAATTCAGGAGCAGGCTGGCCTCAGGTACAACAGCTCATGATTTCTGGGCCAGCTTTCACTAAGATACCTAGGAAGGATCCAAATTTCCTAGACACAGTAACAATCCATACAAAGATGTGAAATACTTCAGGGATTTAAAAATCACTTGCTCAGAAACCCTTGAATTGCAGCCAAGAGGAAGCAAGAGGCTGAAGGCAGAAGTTTGGTTTTGAAGTTTGGTCTGACAGGCTCAGCCCCAGCCCTGTCCCAGCCCCAGGATCACACCCCAGCTGCTCATGAACAAACAGCTCATCCCTGCATCCACAAGGGGCTAAGGGGCTCAGCAGCAGAGCCAGCCCCAAAGTGCCACAGCTTTGCTTCAACATAAACTTCTGGCAACAGTCTTTGCTTTAAACAGGACCTTTTCCAAAAGAAACCCATCTAGGAGTGCTTGGGATCTGGAGGGAGCTCAGACTAGAGCCAAGCCATGGAGTAAAAACTGAGAGGTGCCCTGAGCAGGCCAGAGGAGCAGGGAGGGCTCTGGGTGCACAGGGTGACTCCAGCTGATGTTTCAGACTTTATCACACCACGGTGGAGAACAAAGGGCTCCATGCAGATTCCCAGCTCACATCTCAGGGACTTGTTCCACCTCTCCTCTAAAGGCCACTGGCATACAGGAGGTTTAAAAACTTGTCTCTCTATGAAGAGGCCCAGTGTTTTATTAATAAATTCAAGTTGGGAAAAAACCCCAAACCAACCCCCCAAACTCAAGGTGGAATGTTTTGATCCATTCAGAGGTCTCTGATTGAGTATGGTGCACATTTACTGACAAACTACAATTCGTTCCTTAAGGAGCATCTGGTGTGCAATGGAAAAAGCTGAGCAGCTTGTGTTCCACCAACCATTTAAAAGCTGATGCCTGAACAAAAATAAAATAATTAAAAGAATTCACTGTTTTCCTACATCAGTTCAACATTAAAAGGTTTGTCTTTTTATTTTTTTTCCAGTTAAAAAACAGTTGGGACTATTATCTCAGTAATAGCTTCCTAAAAAACACACAGAACAGCAACTTCTCACCGGACTGCAGTTTAGGAATGTTCTAGGCCTTGACTCAAACTGCTGCTTCCAGACATCAGCCCCGTTTCAGGATGCCTGGTGTGGAATATGGTCTTCACAAGCTTATCACTTCCCGCAGTGAAAACATTTTTCATTTGTGCTCTTCACACAGGACATGGAAAAGTGATATCCCACCTATTTGTATGGAGTTCCAGACTGCTTCACAACGAAGTCAAAAGTATCTGACTGCAAGTTCTGAAAGTTCAGTTGTGATACAAAGTAGAAATGACCCTCTGAGTGAAAACAACCTTCAGTTTTGTACAGAACAGTTAAACACCACGCAGCTGTTCCTCAATTTCACCTTTCCACAGGTAGGAATTATTTGATGAGCAATACTTAACAGAGAATATAGCACTTTTCTTCTCACACGTGCTATAGAATGCAACAGAACTACCAACACCTCTATGGAGGCAGCTATCAAAATATTCTCCCCACTGCAGAGAGAGTGCATGTGCGCAAAAGGCAGGCACAAGTGATTTTTCCAAAGATTATACCACAAGGATGCAGTAAAACTTGAATAAGACTTGGTATTTTCCAGCTCCTAGGCTTATGCCATTTCTTTTATACATCGCTGCCTTGATGAAGGAAAAAAAAAAAAAAAGGAAAAGTCCATCAGAAAGAAAAGTTTCCCAGAAGTCACAGCTAGTAGAATAAAACCAGAAAAACAGGAGGAGGGTTTACATCTAGTCAGGAAAAAGAGACTATTGGGGAAAAAAAACCAAAGAAAGAAAGAAAAAAAACCTTATGAAATGTCACCCCATCACATTGAATCTGTTTCAGCCGTTGAAAACCAGTGTTCCAGGATACAATTTTTATAAACATGTTTTATTTATCTTGCTTATACCATTAGAACTGTAACTGCTGGCTGTCATTTCCCTGAAAAGGGGAAATCAACTCAAACACAGACTGGTGCTTTCAAAAGACAGCAATTGGAAGGGCAGCAGCAGCGGGCATTTGAGATTTCTTAAAACCTTCAAGGCTGCAGGAAAGACAAAAGGACATGTGACCAAAAGTGTTATGATTATCCATTAGGGATTTCCATCAGTACCGGCATCAGTTATTCAGGTGATAATACAGCAAGGTCAAGTATTAGTGACAGACAATGTGCAAGTCATAAGGAATGATAGAGAATACCAATCCTTACAAAAGTCATTGCTATCAAAGAAACTTAAAAGTGTTTCAAAGAGATATCTAAATACTTCACATCAAATATACAGTGGCCATCCAGATTATAGCTCAGGATTTGTTGCAAAATTTTGTCCAAGTGCCAAATCAAAGCCTTTTTTTTTTCTTTTTTTTTTCACCTTGTCTCCTAAAAAAAAATTAATTACACAGTTACATTAGCAGTTATGCAAGCGCTCTTAACTCCATAGCCACAGGAATCAGGGCCCTGGTGATGAGGAGTGCTGCAGCTAAGGGTGCCTCTTTCTTTGTCACAAACTGCCTCTAAGCCCACCTGTCTATTTAGGGCAATTGCATCACTACACATCTTGAACTGTTCAGTGCTTCGCTTTAGTAAGAAAAAGATGAAATGTAGTTTTCTACCAAGCCACACTTCACCTTTTCCATCTTTTCATGGGAACATTTAAGTTTTTTTTTTTAACTGCCACCACAGAAAATCTTTATGAATTTGCAGATTTTATCTGAATTTTGTTAAATCACTTTTAAATGACAGAAGTGAGTCTTTGTTTTTTTCCTGCCACTTCAGTTAACCATGGAGATTGGATCACCCTGAAAATTGCCTTTTTTTGCTTTATTCTTAGCAAGGGTGAGGAATCTGAATCTCATGTGCAAGGCTCAAGATGATGCTTAGGACAGAACATGCAGAGTAAACGTTGTTTCGTTCCTTTCAATATCCAGGGAATATAAAGCTGGCAACTGCAGTCCTGTCATTATGGGTAATGAAAATAGTCCCTTTACAACAAACTTCCTGTAAGGGAGAACAAATAGATAATAACTCTTCTGGTAACATGTATTGTACACTGGCCAGCGTGTTTTTGGCGTTGAACGGAATCCTGTGAACGTGTTTAATTCACTTGCTGAGCGTTCATCTGAGGCATCCCTCTGTTTGGTCTGGGGGGCCCTCCACGACCTGGAAAACACAAAGAGGGGGTTGAATTCTGCAGGAAATCTGGTTAGTTTAAAAATAGTCCTAAATCTTTGGCTCTGAACTCAGTCAGACTTTGTTGTGCTACCTAAAACACACTCTCAGCTTCAGCACAGCCCAATGTTGCACTGAACTCCAGAGGCCTCAGCTCCACACCTCAGGGCTTTCAGGACAAAAGGCAGGGACAGAAACTGAATACCCTCAAAACTGAACTACCAAGTGGGGTTTCACAGATGCAAGGCACAGCCTTGAGCTGCCCTCACAGCCATGTCTGTATGGAGACAGAACAGTCTCATCATCAAAAATGTTCTAAGAAAAAGACCTGAGGAAATGTGATGAAAATAGAATTTAGAAACTTAACTACAGCCTCATTATGTCTGTCGGGTCTGTTTCCCAAGGCTTTCATTAATAAAAGACAGATAGGTAGTTCTACTATATCTGAATGTTTTAGCTTCTTTTCCAAGAATTCCTCATTTAACAGCCAACTTGACTTCCACCACCAGTTCACAGGATCCCAATAATTCAAGTCAGCTTATTCTTAATTGTGAGCTGCTGACTAAGGAGTAAGGTTGCTTTTTAAGTGCAGAACTTTAAAAGTTGGCTCAGAAACTTCCACTCAACCCAAATCAATTATTCCCTACTCAGGAAATTACCTCTAGGAGCTCCCCGAGGTCCACTTTGTCCAGAGCCACGTTTGAAATTTTGTTGATATCCATCCTGAAGCAAAGAAATTTAAAAAGTTACAACATAAAACCTGTTATTAATTGCCAGCAAAACAAGGACCTTTTAGAACAATGTGCATTGACAAAACACCTGCAATTTCAAAATGCAACATTTTATTTGTAAAAAATAATCTTTAAAAAATAAACTCTTACTTCCACTAGTGCCTAGCAGCTGTAATAAAATATGCAGTGACAAATGCTCTCTCTAGCTACAGGATGTGTTGCTCAATATAACTAAGAAATATAAACAGATGCATTTAGTGTTTTCCAAACTACAAAGGGGCAGTTTGTCTTCCTGAGCAATAAAGAAGTCGCAGAGGAAGATGTCACTACCAGCTCTGAGTGCTTTTGACAGGTTATTTCCCTCCCCACAGGTAGCTTACCCTCTGGTAGTTTGAGTAATCCCGAGGAGCATTGAACTGGGGCTGTGTGTAGCCACTGTTTGGAGTGTTGGAAAAGGAAGGACGGTAGCCATCGTATCCCCCTAAGAAACAGGGCACAAGTCTTTCACTTGAAAATCAAAGTTGCACTTAATATTTGACCTTCTGCTACTATAGAAAGAAAAGCAGCAACAGCATTTCACCTAACCTTAAAAAAATCCCATCCCTTTAGGAAAGGCTGTTTACCTGCAAATCAAGCAAATGTCTCCAACATCAGAGCTAATATATCACAAGAAATAGAATGAACACCTCATAAGGCCTGGGAGGAGGAAGAATTCAGTGCATTTGTCAGAATTCACTGCATTTCTCAGTTCAATCAAACCTGAGGTTTGATTTACAGAACATTCAGTTCAGAGCTAAACATGATCCTAGGTAGGATGCAAATGTCCCAGCTGTGATTACTGCATTCACTCTCCAATCAGCTGCATTTTTATTACACATATTTCTTCTCTACTCCCCAGCCACAGAAGGGAAAGAGAGAACATGGAAAACAGTACCTGAGTCCATAAGTAATCCCAGAAAACCTGACAAGGAAATCTCTGTCCTATTCTAACATAAACCTCTTTGCAGAAACACTGACAGCCACACATGTAAGGTCCAGGGATCATGAACGTTCTCTTATCTATCCAGAACTACATTCTATCTATCTACTACTACTATCATTCCTCCAGTCCTGTTAATCCCCTTGGCCTAGTGACTTTTGGACTCTTGTACTTCTACATAAACCAGCCTATTCTCATTCTGATGAAACACAGAACTACACTGTACAAAATGCACTGTGGAAACACTAAGCATTTTTGAAATACCAACTTGCACCTGAATTTCTTGCTTCATGGATGGATGTTTCTGCATTTGCTTATACCTGCAGTAGATGCTTACTATTGTATTGTAAGAGTCCAAACAATTTTAAAGTTGCTTCTCTACAACCAGTAAGATTTTTACTGCAAGTTTCGCTGTCTCACAGGGCTGCTACCCCAGTCTCCCAGCAGCAGGTCAGTTTAACACCCCTGCTCTCCTGAGCTGGTGTTCCCCAGGGTCAAGCAGAGCTCAGGGAGGCATTTGCAGAGCTGCTCACCTCTGAATCCATTTGCTGGGCCCCTGTAGCCGTTCATGAGGCCCCGGGCCCCGCGGGATCCCCCTCGGGACACGCCCCGGCTGTTGTAGTAAGGCTGGCTGTTCCTGGGAAATCCAGTGCTCTGCTGGGGAGGCTGCTGGTGGTTTCCTGCCACTTGGTGACTCTGGTCCGGGGAACCGTGGTAGGTACCAACCACTGCAGGGGAATTGGGGGGAAAAACAAGTAGAAAAGTCTGAATTTCTTTATGTTCCCACCTATCTCTCCTTAAACCCAGCATTCTGTTACAGAGGAAAAGGATGAGGCTCTTTGTCCTTGTTCCACATCTAGTACTTGTTAGCACTTCAGTGGAAAGTGAAGTGAAGGGAGTGCTGAGAGAAAAACAGCTCTGGATATAGACTTATACTGGAAAGCATTTTGCCTGCTGAATTAAAATAATTTCTCACTGATTTCAGCACAAGATTCCAGGTCTTTGTGACCTTACATCTACTGCGAGAAGCAATCCTCATTTGCTTTCATTTCTGGCTTATTATTTCCTTTACAGAATGTCACCTCAAATTGCACTGTTTTTTTTAAAGCAACCTTAACATCAGCAGAGCCAGTACTTCACTCAAGTATTAGAATAATCCTGTTCATGGAGTTTTTTTAAACCCATATAAACCTCAGTCAAGTGGCTTAACAACTGGAGATATACTTAATTTCACTCCCTGTTGGATATTCAAACCCAGACAGAGTAACAAAACCTGGTACTGCTCAGGGGTAAGGCCTGCAAGGGAACCTGTGACATGCTGTGCTCCATCATCTAGGATGTCACAGACTTATTACCTGCTCTACCAAGGCCACAAGAATTTTACCTGTCTGGAGTTGTTCTTGCTGGAGATCTGATTGTTCTACTTGGTGAGGTTGATTGGAGAAACTCTGGTTGTAACTGGCCTGGTACTGGTTTTGCTGCTTAAGGGTTTCTGGCTCATTCACAGGAGGAACAGGTGCATTCATGTTGAATACCTGTAAGAGCAGAAATTCAGTTTTAAGGCTCTGTAAAGAAGCATCAAAGTCTTAGAAATGTGAATAACCAAGGACTATCATATTTGGCTGCATGACATCCCACCACAAGGGGTGAGCACCAAGCCAAAGGGATCAAGGACTGATTTCCTACTCACTGTTTGCATGGATTGGAATGGAGCTGCATTGACGTTGATTCCGCTGCTATGCAAAGGCTTGCTGGATCCAGCCTGGAACACCTGTGGCTGGGATGCAGTGGGAAGTGATGATGAGGACGGGGTCTGGTCTGCATTCAGGGACATGGAAGCCTAATAATTAAAACAAACAACACTTTAGCTCTAGAGGTACCAAAAATTTAACTTAACTTCAAAAACTTTGTTTAAACAAAGAGTAGCAATGCCTCAGCTTCACCTCTACTAATGACTGTTTTGTACTTCAGCTCAACAGCCTAATTCACAACAGCATAATGAGAGGAAAAATCTAACCATCTTCTCCCTCATTAACCTGAAACATAACTAGAAAAATCCAGAGGGGGGAAATGAAGAAGTTTCCAGGCTAACTGCTGTGAAAAAATAAATCCCACTTCCTAAGCCAACAACACTGATGCTCCCATGCTGATGTTGGCATGCTGCATCCAACTAAACAAACAAGCTTCCAAATGAAAAGTATTGCTATGGAGGACTCACTGGTCACAGACAGGCTCAGAATTTTGAAATTAAAGGGAATTGAAGCACCCCTATCAACTAAAAATAATGTTATTTACTAAGAAACATAGACTAACATTTGATGCCACCTGCAATCAAAGTTCTTCCCACCCCTGTGCAACCTGACTTGCCTGAATCTGGTCAATTGATTCTTTCTGTGGCCGTTGCTCTGCTGTGTGAGAAGGCTGATACATGGGTTGGGAAGCTGTATATCCCTCACTTGTAGAAGAAACCAAGGGAACCTGACAAAATAAACCCCAAAGTCCCCAGAAGTCAGCTGATGCTCACACACAGTTTTGTAAAAAGTATCAGAGAACTCTGGAGTGGATGGTACTCTCTAGACTGTGAGCCAGCACATCTTCAAACCAGTACAAAATAATTACTTTTTAACCACCAACATTCTAACACCACACAGCTCCAAGCTCAAACACAAGTGGCCAAGGGCTGGCTTCCAATGGCCTGAATTTTACATTTTACAAGCTCTGCTCCCACACAGAGAGCCCAGGGAAAAGTCCAGCCAGGAAAGCAGAGCACTTTGCATTAAAGACTGTACTGGGGAGTTAAAGAAGCAATGGATAATAACTGATGGGGGTGTTCACATCACACCGGAATGTTCCAAAGCCAAGAGTAAGTTTAGCTACTGCTTGCAAGATCCTTGAGAGAATCACTGGCAGCACTGGTTGAGGTAAGGGAAATAAGACAAAAAATCCATGGGATTAAGTCAGACATCACCTAACAGCAAAATAAAAACTAGTGCAGAGAAAAAAAACCTCCCTGCCCCAAAAAATGATTCTACTCCTACGAGACAACAAAACTGTGGAGAGCACCAGCATTTCAGGAGGTACATACAGAGCAAACTCAAGAAATAATTCCCTTGCTCCTGTTTCTATATAAATGAGTGACTTAAACCTTGCAGACCTAATCTGGACAAGCCAAAGGAAGCAATTTACACTGCCTGTACTGTGAGATGCATCACCTATCCAGATTTTTTTTTGGTTTGCAAACACCTACATGGATCAGACCCATTACTGAGACCAGCAGAGTCCTCAGAGATGTCACATATGCTTAATAAAAAAATCTTTAATCACCAGACAACTGAAACATCTTAACAACAAAGTGATTACTTCATTTTTACAGTGCAGAAGCAAGTTTAGGAGATCCCTAAAAGCTCAACTGGAAACAGCATTCAACTCACACTGACTGCTCTACAACTCCAGGGTAAAATCCCAATCCAAGCAAGTGGGAATAATCAAAAGAACACAAACTCCATATAATTAATGCATGAGATCTGCTTGTGCCCTGACACTCACTTGGACAGACACAGACTGCCCTGTAATCAAGTGGTTTTGATATTTCTGTTGCAAAGAAGTAACAAACTACCTGCTTCCCATTAGTGGAAATTTGCAATGTCAGTAGAGAATGAAACCAGGAACTAGTAATGCCTGTAAGCAACAATGGAGATCACCAATTTCCCAAAGCTGGACCTTCAGCTTTTTCGTAAGTCTCTCATGTAGTCAGGAAATAAATCCTTTTTTAACTCAAATCAGGCCCAATATCAAACTCAAATACAAATTTACTAAATTTACTAAACATTTTACTAAAGAATTTACTAAACATTTTACCTGTGTAGCTTCTGGTTGCACAGGAACTTGGGTAGGCTGGGCAAGTCTTGACTCAGCATGAACTGGAGGAAAATAATTTCACTTATTACACAGTAAAATCAAGCCTTTTAAAGAACAGCATTATTATCTGCTCTGAGCACTTATGTGAAAGCTGATTGTCATGAAATGATGAAGCCTTAAGCATGGTAAAGCTATATTTAAATTACCAACTCCTGTTTCCACACAAAGAACATTTTTTCTAGTTGTCCAAAATAATCCAAAGCAAAACCAAAGAAGCTTTAGTTTCTCTGTATTTCCAAGCAAAACCTATAAGCAAGTGAGAACTGGAAGCCTAAAAAACAGTAAAACCACATTTCTGAGAAAAAACACACTATAACAGGATTGTACTATTACTTGTGGTGACCTTTTTATTATGCAGCAGCAACTGAAGCATTTCTAAGAGATGACTTGCAGGCTTCCCCAGTATTTCCCTTTAGGATTTACCATTACAAACCTGGAGGGCAAACCATTTGGGGCATGTCCAAACTCTGGGCTGGGTTCATGGGCTGTGCAGATACAATGGCAGGATCAAGCGTTTGGTTCTCAAATTCCAGCATCGAGTCCTGGGGAGAAAAAAAAATAATTAAATAAATAAAAATCAAACCCACACTGCTGTGGGTTAAACAGATGAATGCTCAGAGTACAGAAATACCTGCATGAAGTTGTAGGGGCCCTGCATCTGTGCCATGAGGTCCTGTACTCGCTGTCTCCTGACCAGGGGGTCTGCCTGAGCCACAGCAGTGAGTGCGTGAGGTTCCGGGACGGGAGGAGACGTCGCCTGTGTCTGTTGCTGCAGGGAATTTACAACCTAACAAGAGACAACAACCAACTGCAATTTCAGCTCCAGGCAACGCTGCACTCAAGTGACTCAGGAGTTCTTGCATTTCTGGCCATTGCCTGACAGGTTATGGATGATGAATTGCTGTAGTGGTGTTGAAGGACAGTATTACATCCTAGACAGGTCAGTACTGTGGCCAGCTACTCATCTGAGCACTCACAGGATTACAGAGCTCACACTCTGCTCTTTTTTCTCTCCATCTATTCTTTTCCCCATGAAAAAAGTATTTGTTCAATATCACATGGAGTTTTTTAGACCAGGATTTGAGACAGCAATTTATCACCATTTGGAAATTTAAAGGAAGTGGGGGAAGAGTAAACTTCAGAGATATGCAGAAATGGGGAAGAATTATTTTCTTACAGCTTTTTGGTAAATACAAGTGCAGTCAGAATTTTTTGGTCTTTTTTAAGACTTCATAATGCTCAATTTTCACAGCCACTGTTACCCTAGCTCCCTGATTTACTGTCTCAGGAACAGCAGGCAGCATTGCATGACAAGGATTGCCAGACAGCACCGTGAGGGGACACCAGAAGCCCAGAAGCAGAAGCACAGATCAGGGAGGGCAAGAAAGCTCAGATTTACCAAACATATCCCAAAGTGGCAAACATCAACAAAGGAACAAACTGCAATGGGCTTTCAGACAGCACCTGATTAGACAGCAGAGCAACCAGCCAAGCTGGACATGGGCACCTCAAACATCCATCAGCAAATACTTTGAAAACAGACAGTGACAAGGATGGTTGAGCTGCACTTTGATGGCCCTAACCAGTCCCTCACCTGCTCTTTAGGCAGCTCTGTAATCCAGAAGTGCCATTTTCAATGCCAACAAATGCCCTTTAAAAATATCATTGTCTCTTACCATTACTTCTCTATTCAATCAGCTTGTAACATCACTAACATTCCAGATAAACAGCTAAGCCTCAAAACTTAGTTACACAGGATATAAATTAGCATACAGGCACCTGAAAGCTCAAATATTGATGTAAAACACATGATTTCTTATTAGGACTGCAGAAGACAGATTTCTGTGCCCAGCCATGACAATTACAAACCATCCTATAACAAAGGTCTGAACTTTATGCCTCACACTGTCACTATCCACCCTCAAAGCCTGCATGTTCCTTATTTATTTCTCCAAGAAACCTACAGCATGTTCCAGCATCCCTACTGCCTGCCCATATTTCCAAACCTTGTTTGTCCATGGCATTCTGCACATGCAGTTGCCTCACCAACTCCAATGGCTTGTTCCTTGAGCAAATCCCAAACAGAGAATCTGAACAAAACTAAAAGCTAACCACAGTCCTCTTTGAGATCCCCTTCAGAACCAAACCACCACTGGTAGCAATCCAGAGAAACAATTTGACAATTCCCATGAAAAATACACCCTGAGGCAGTCCACACTGGAAACCAAGCACAACTCTGCTCTATCAAACAGTCCCTGAATTTCACATCATGGACTGTTTCCAAATTAAGAATTAAGCCCTATGAGTGGAAAAAAATTACCTAGAGCACATATATAGACCTTTTGCACATGACAAAATTTAAAAATTGAAGAAAAAGTGCAAGCCAGATCATCAGGTGAAACTTGAGTGGTAAAACCAACATCTACTCATCTCCTGCATAACTGTTACCAAAAGTACTCTCAGTTATTTGAGCCCTACCACTCAACTTATGGAGTCCAAGTCATTCACAACACTTCAGTGTCTTCAAGAAAAAAAAAAAAAAAGAGTCAATGGAATCATCAAGAACTCAACAGTGACAAAAATACCCAATGTTTTCCACAAATAGCACAGCAGTAACTTCAGATGGTATTTCATATTTTACATTATCTTTTCCAGTACTCCTTATTTGATGTCACAAGGAACAGTTTAGGACCTACTCCTTCAGCCTTAGTAGCACTACCAGGGTACTCTGAGCAAGTAAACCATAGTAGGATGGAACAACTGAGCAAATTTCAAGTTGTGTGATTAATTTAACCTTGTCAGCAGGCAGAGCTGCCAGACACAGGGCAAGGAGACTGACAGGGGACAGATTAAAAAAGAGAAGGACAGGTAAAACCACAAGTTTAATGACACCACAAGCCAAGAGAATGAACTTGTATTTTGTTAGTCTGAGAACAGTTTTCAATTCTACACAAAATCCATCCAACCAAAGTTCCACAATCTAAGACACAGAGAAACTTTGTGTACAACCAGACTCAGGCACTAATTACAGAAGAAGCAGTTAAAAAAATTAAACCCTACAAAACAACAATAAAAAATCTCCATAAATACTATTACCAATAAAGAACATATTCACCAAAATTAGAACATCCTATAATGCCAAGACACGTGGAAAATTCAAAAGGCAATTATTTAGTTTAAAAGTTATGGAAGGACCATACAAAAAACATCCTTGTGAAGACATCATCACTTCCCAAACTAGAAACACAGCACAGAAATCCTGACTGTATCACATCTACTTGAGGGTTACTGAAAGAGAGGAGTTTATGATATCCTCCCGCTTAGTGAACAATTACAGAGATCTTCTGAGCTAATGTTCTCTTTCAGATTTCAAAATTCACAGCTATCAGTGTACAACCTGTGTCACCATCTTGCCAAAGCACAATCCAGCTGCATTCTCCTGAGAAAGGAGACTGTGGTGTCAGCAAGAATAATTTTACAGGCAGATATTCTCAATTTCCCTTTTTTTTGTATTATAGCTGAGAAAATAAAGTTCTTTATTATGAAGAAACAGGCTTCAACTTTATTTTTTTCTAAATTATTCCCTTCTAACATGTCAAAGATATTGGGTCAGAAAGGGCAATTGAAGCACACTATCTCTGTATTGTCCTATGAAAACAAAGCTGAGCCAATTCCAGATTCAGCCGACTAGGAAATTATGAGTTTCTGAAACCTACAACCTGAATTATGCCTTCATCCATGCTCCTTTTATTAAGAACAGAGAACTGAACCACTCTGGAATCTTAGGAGAAACACAGATATAAAATAGGTATAATTGAAGCCAATTAATCAATAATTTTAAAATACTGTGCTTTCTAAGAACACTCCAACCAAGCATGACTTTAATGTATGGGTTTGGAGGGTTTCTTCAGTTTGTTAAGATAATTCTTAAAATACATTCAGTAGACAGTGAGTAGCAGTGACAATTTAAGCGTTTAAGTAAGTAAATGAAATACTGTGACAAGGAACTACCAAACTCCTTCACATACATGGCAAAGCTGTCTACTTAGTTTTAGAAGTCTCACACTCATCCTCAGTATTATTAAATCTCTAAGTGGTCTTCAACACTGTAAAATAGGAATTTCATCCAGACTCGATGTAAAAATCAGCCAGATTAGTTTATCAGATCAAAACAGCTGCTCTGTTTTTCAGCACTTCACAAGATGATGAACACTTATTCCACTCCTACACTTAGAAACAGCCAAAGGCACCAGGAAAGTCTAAAAAACTGACCATCTGCAATTTGCTGCTGCAGAAGGCTAAAATCAATCAAAAAATAACTCTCCAGCACCTGAAAGAAGCTGCTCATACTTGTTTTTCCCAGACAGACACAACTCAAGCTCCAACATACCAAACAGGGGCCTTTGTCTTTCCCCATACACAAGGACCACAAATTCCAGTGCAATAAAATAATGGACTTGCACATGCAGCAAAGTCTGAGTGCAAATCACTGAACTGGGAATGGATCCCAACACCAGTGCACCACAAACACCACAAGTGAACACCACTCAAGTGCAGAGGAGTAACAAGTGAGATACTTGAAGAGCTGTAGTTCTGGGAAGCAGAGATGTACATACATACGAGCACATTTTAACACCAAATGATGCACATAAGCAATCTGGAGTAGGAATTAGTTGAGTTACTCATTTTCAGCTCCCTCTCCAGGCACCTGTGCTTCATGAAAGCAAAACTACACCACACTGTCAGCAGCTGGGTAGATAAACTTTCAAGTTCTACATTTGCAGCTACGTTCTCCAAAAAGAAAAAAGACTTCAAAAGAAGTCCTTAAGTCTTTTTAAGCATAAGACTTTTAAGCCCTGTTTTCCCAAGCAAGCCACTAATGAAGAAAAGCAAGTTCTCTGCAAACTTCGCCAGACTAAATAGGTTTTATTTCTTTTTATTTTAGGTACTCCTGGGCTAAGTATGTAATTAAAGAATCAAGTAGCAAGTCCAAGCCTACTTAAATAAATGTATTCTTTTATATATTGGGGGAGAAGGGATGCAACACTAAAACCTATCATGAATTGTGAGCCAGCAGAAACAGGGATTGCAATTTTACCTGCAGTACACAAGATCTTACCTCAACCGTTTCAACTGTCCACTCATCTACCTGTTCCTTCTCACTACTGCTGAACTGAGTCTCTGCCATGAATTGTCTGTTTACATACTAAAATAAAAATAAGAAAGGGTATGAAAGTAAAAGTAAGTGGCATTGAAGGTATACAAAATGACAGTGTTTCTGTGAATAATACCTCAGTTGATTCAACTTCAGTTGGCTCAGTAAATTCTTCTGCTGGATCAGGTTCTGGAAGAAAAAGAAACAAACCATTTATGTGGGAAAATAAAAATCTCAAAACAACAATAATAAAGACCTCAACCACCCTCATGTTATAGACCTAGAAGATAGAAAGTTAGATGAGAAAAATCATGTGCCTCAGAATAAAGAAGAAAAGTCATGGGTGTTAACAGAATTAGTAATATCAAATGTTCTCAGAGCTTTGAATTTAAAAGAAAAAAACCCATTAAATTCTCACTAGCGAGAGTTATGTTCAGCTATGCCTTCTCCACAAAAGGGAAAAATGTCCTGAGTTGTCTTAAAATTGGATACAACATTCCCAAGTTTCTTAAGTATGTAATTACACTGTCTGCTTCAGAAACTGCTCCCTTCTAGCTCAGCTTAAATTGGTGGGAACCACTGAAAAATGGGAAAAGCCTCAGGGAGCCACAACTTTGATCTTGGATGGTTTCAGTGCTAGAGATGAACACTGCATTTGCAATTTAATCACTCTGAGGAGTGCAGACATGACAGAACAACACCAATGTGTCAGTCACAGGGCATCTTCCCCTCCTCACCAGCCTCTGCTGCAGCGTCTTCTACTGCAGGTGCAGGTGCTGCCTCCTCTTCCTCACACAGCCCATTCTGGTGGTTGTGGGTGCTGTCAAAGTAACTGGTCTGAAGGATGCGTTCAACAATCTCCTTCAGTGCTTTATCTGGGGAAATGGAACAGGGAAACATCAGCACCACCTCAGTCCTCATCATCCTCTCTCTCCTTCCATCCTTCCTTCCAAAAGATTGCATGTACCTTTTATGACCCATTTGCTGGGAAGATGCTGCTGCCCCAAGCCAGTCCATGAGCACCAGTAAGAGATTTCTTCTCTTACTGGGTCACATTCAATAAATCCATAAATAACCCACTGTCATTCAGAAAAATCTGAAGGGCAAGAAGGATCTTAAGAGTACAGAACTCTTCAGAAGTTTTGTGGAGCACTTCACAGTGAGGTCAAGTTTATGAATTTAATTACTAGACTTTTATTCCTGTTACTTAAAATCATTTCTGTAAGACAATTTCTTCCAAAACAACTAACTGTCAATAAAAATAAATCTACACAGGTACCATCTGATTCATGAGGGTTCTTCTCCAGAGGTGAAGTGGCTCAAAAGAGCCTTTGTAAGCAAAGAACAATTGCCCTCAGTGCTTCAGATGAATGCTGAGGCACCTTAACCCAAAAGACATCAGCACCATTGGCAAAGCAGTATTGCTGGCTGCCTAGGCCAGGTATTTGGGAATGATTTCCATAAAAAGCAGTCTGGCTGGCATGGTCACAGCCTGATCTGCAGGTAATCAATGAAGACAGGGCAAAACTGCAACACTTTTTGCAGGAGCTAAGGGGGAAAGAACATCCCAGTAAGGAATGCCATGTTAGTGTACGTATTACACTGTCACCTTGTTCACACCCAGGTCTGCAGAAAACAAAGAACTGTTACCAAGCACCATCAGCAGCAGAGTACTGCTGATACAGCAGGAATAGACTGAGCTTCAATACTGAGTAATGCTGAGCCAGTATAAAAAATACACCACAGACTGAGTACAAACTTCACAAGTCACTATTACAGTCCAGCTAAGAGCTGAGAAAAAGTAGTTCCCCTAAGACCTCACAGATAATTAACTGCCCAAGTTCTCTTACATCAGATGTGTGTTTTAGTTCAGACACAAATTCTGTGTGCTGTCTCTTCATGCAGAGACTGTACTTACAGGTTGTTCCACAAACTGGTTTTTCCTTCCCTTCCAGTAAGTCCCACAGGTGAACAGATGCTTGCTCATACTGCTCATTCAACCTTAAAAATTAATTAATAAGAGTTAATTTCTTACTGAGTCTTTAAATTACCATACCAAATACATTGTTAACTGACTGGCAATTAGAAAGAGGAGCACTTTGCTGTAACCCTACCTCATGCTCATGTCTCGTTCAGGGTAAACCAGCTTATAGAACTCATCCAGCATTGTCAGCTCCTCCTCTGTCAGCACTGGCACCCCGTTGGATCCCTGTTTGAGGTCGCTGCGCACTTCATCGTCCCCCAGCTTCTCCAGAATGAACTGCAGCTCCAGCACCGTCTTTAAACGCTTCTGCTCGGCCTCCTCTCGCATCAGCTGCTCCCTGCGAGCTGTCTTCTTTATTGTTTTCTGGATCTGCAATGGACCCAAGGAAAAAAATCTTTGGAAATGTCTTTAACTGCTAAGAAAAGGTCCAGAGGAAGGCAAGGGAAAAGCCCAAGTGCTGGGTTCTTCCATTTGGAAAGGCTTGGGTGATGCAGATTGTTCTGGCCACACAGAGAGCAGGAACAGAGAGGTTATTCACCATATCCCACCAGAGTAGGAAGCATTCATTGGAATTACCAGGAGATCAGCTTAAAACAGATAAACAAAAGACTGTTTTTTTCACACACCACAAGAGGGACCTCATGGAATGTTTTGACATGAAAGGCTGGGGAGATAGACAGACAGGATCAGCAAGTCCAAAAAAGGATTTCAACAAATTCTCATCCCCAGTCAGACACTCCAGGGAACAAGCATGTGCATCCACTGCAGGATTCCCAGTGCAAGGAGCACGGCTGCAGGGAGGGAGAAGATGACACATCAGCAGCAGCCTTGTGCTCTGCATTGAACCTTCCACAAGGTCTAAATGCAGCACCACTCTGAACCTACAGGATGTTTGTTCCACTCTTCATCTTAATCCAAGTATCCAGTGTCCCAAGTTCAGCTGGAAATGTAATATTCTCTTCTAAAAAAATCTATCATAATGGTAACTTTCCCACTTGAAACATCCAAATTTTGTTTTTAAAAATCAAAGACATATCTTAAAGTCAACTAAATACAGACAGGAAAAGCTACCACCAAGTTTGAAAGCAGAGCACCAATCTGGTACTCCTGCATTCACTGGCTTGCTTTAGCAGTCAGCTGACCAGGGAAACACTTCAGAACAGACTTATCCAGAAAAGGACGTTCTCCATTACTAACATTCCATAAACACAGATGAACTGTGATGCCAGAAAATAGAGAAACAAGTTGGCTGAGTCCTACAAATTAATTTACAGCCACAGCCAATGTAGAAAGCAGTTTATAACACAAGGATGCTGCTGCCCTTCAAATTATCCCAGCCTGTTCACAAGCTAACTCTGCTCCTTAGAGCAGTCAGCTGTATTAACATCCACTACTCAGCCAACTCCTCCAATGCTGCTGCTCTTTCCACAACTCCCAAATTTTTAGAATTTAATTCTTGATTACAATATTATTCTGCATCCTTGATAAAACACCAACCCAAAAGATTACCTATTTCATAGTATCCAGTTAATTTACCCTTTACAAAAGTAATATTGTCCCATAATGTAGTTTCAGATTGTACTACCAAGAAATGAAAACTCTATGAAATCAATTTAAGAAAATGTCACCAATGGGAGCAAGTGACCATCTTTAACGTTGCATTCCAACCACAGACCTGGTTCTGTGATCACTATTTTCAACACTTGTGTTGTGTCAGAAAATTACATTATTCTTGTTTCCATACATTTATGTAGTACATCAGAAATTCTTCAGAAAACCTGACATCAACTAATATAAAAAAACCACAAGAAAACAGTCAAACATAGAAGAAATCAAGGGCAATTTATCTCTGTAAACAGAGGTGACTACTGCCTCAGTGGAAGAGTTTAAAGTGTTTGGATAACCCACATGGCAATGCTTGATCTTTACTTACATCTTGGCTCAGAGCCATAAAACTCCTCTGCAGTTCCTTAGCAAATTCCAGATTATTTGTCACTTCCTGGTACTTTGACACTGCATCCTTAAAAAAAACCCAAAAAGACCACAAATGTAAACCATCAGCAACAGAACTGAATATATACTTCCAACAAATAAATTCCCACAATTTTTAGTTCTAAAGTGAGACACAGGATCCCTGAATGGGACTGCAACTATGTTAAGGTAAATTTAGATTTTCACAGGCCCAGATATCAAAGACTTGTGTATGTCCTTAGGGCCTCCAGTTTCTTTAGATATGCTAAACATACATAGAAATATGCCTTTATGTGCTCACATGGATGATGGACTGGTTTCATGTTTGGCTGCAGCCAGTTCCTGACAAAAACTAACAAACAAGTGGAAGAATGGGGGAGAAGAACAATCTGGCAACTCAGAACTGCTTAAGAGTTTGAGAATAACTGCATTGTTATCTCCAGTCAGAGCCAAAACCAGAATATACAGAGCATAATGTCCCCATCTCCAGAAATCTTTGCTTTTGCTATCTTCTTAAACCTAACAATCTGATCTGCACCAAAGCAAACCAAATTCCTCAACCTATTTGGTATGACTGAGAAATTATATCAAATCAGAATCAAATCAGGGGGATATGGCTGAGACATTTACATTCCTGCTGTGACAAAATAATGTGTTTCTCTAAACTAGCATTCATTTTTATCAAACCTGGTAGTCAAGCTTGATAAAAACCATGAGCTTCCCTCCTGAACATGATGTCAGCTCTCTATCGTGGCTTATCTTCACAACAGGCCATCACAAAATAAAAATACACAGATCTGTGATATTTCAGTTCTCAGCTGGCACAGAACCACCAAAATGAAGATGAAATCATCCAAGGGACCAAGGGAAGCAGCTCATTCTCTTAAGTGTCAACAGCTGCAATAGTTGGAGGGTACATTTTTGTCCCTTCACTTTCAGTGTCAAAAATCATCCATAAAACACTGTTGATCCTAGACTGGGAAGATAATTGTTAAGGATTTGACTTCACATAACACTGAGCATCTGGTAATGTCTTGAAGTATCAATGAGCATGTTTGCACCATACAACTGAATTTAAATTGATATTTGCTTTTTATTTACAACTGCAAAACTGCTGCTGAATCAAGCTCTGCAATAACCTACTTTAGAACCAGCCCCAAAAAGGAGAGAGGCAGGAAAAACTCCTCATCACAAAGATAACAAAACAATTTAACAGAGATCTGGTTAGGATTTTTTTGGTTGTTTTTACCAGTTGATCTTGATTCAGACGTTCTCCCTTGTTCATTCGTTCCTGGTAATCATCAAGTTTGCTCTGAAACAAAAGAAAAATGCTGTTATGAAGAGGCAAAAATCAATTTAAAGCTTTTTTCTACTTGTGCTAACAAAATTATGCATTCTAATATTACACTACACAGACTGTACCATGTTACACAAGCACGTAACCATCCTGTAGAAAGCGTATAAGAGAAAAACTGTCTTCTGGGTTAAAATGTAAATATTTTCCCAAGAGGTAAATATTTTTATCTTATTTGGCTATTACAATGTCTTCATGGCTAGTTGGAATTTCCAAGGAAATTCACATTCTTCCTAAGGGGACAAGCACTCTCAATGCACATGTCCTTCAGTCCAAACACCAGAGAGCTGCACTGAGGATTGAGGTAGAGCTTATCACCACTTTATCACTACAATACCAAAAATCTGACTGCAAACCCCCACTGTCAAGGCTATTAAGATTCAGAACTGTGTTTCTCTGTAGCTCCATCACTTAAGATAGTTGTAAAGAATTTTAAACAGTTTCTAATCCTCTGTGCAAGAATGCCCACCAACACAATTCATATTAATAGCTCTAAAATAGTTTTTTTTTCAAGAGCATTAAAATTTTTCCCCCCACAGGAAAAAACTGAAAAAAGAATCATTAGGCTACTTTTCAGCAGGATCAGTTTTCTCATCTGCTTCAAGAGAAACCACACAGCAGAGTGGCATCAGCCAGAATCCAACTCCTGTGTGCCCCAGTGACAGATTCTACAGGCTAACTACAAAGGCTCTTCCAAAGGAAGCAAAGCCTCTAAGGGTTACACACCTAATTATTACACTGTTTTCACCATTTCTGTATTAGCACAAATTACTGCATCTGGAATGAGATTTGCCATGATCTAATTAAAAAAGTTATTAAAACAAATCCTTAACAATTATTTTCCCAATCTAGGATAACAAAACACAAGATGCAGGAGAATATTTAATTTTGAATGTCAAAGATGCCACCACTGTCTCAGGGTTTACATTTGCACTGAGTGACACCTTGTTTGGCTGCTGTTGCTCTTCATTTCAGACTTTTCAGTTAAAATACTTTACTGCTATTTTTCTAGTTAATTCAACTTTTATTCTATGCTCAGTCTCAGACTTTTGGAAAGATCAAAGTCTGTGGAACAGTTTATCAAGCAAGCTCCTCTTCCAAAGTATTTGATGCCCATCACTATTTCCTGAAACCCTAACACCCTTATGAGGCTTGGCCCATTTGTTGTCATTTTTGGTGCTGGATCTTTTTACGTCCTCTAGGTCAGACAGAACATTTAACTACTTCACCTTCCAGTGTATCAGAGCCAGCAATGGCCTAGGAAAAGTCAAAGCAAGAACTTGCAGAGCTCCAAAAATATATTACTGGGAGTTTCGTGCTGGGGACAGAAACTACATGGTAACAGTTGTTAAATGCAGCAGCCACAGCTCATAACAGATCAAAAAAGCAGCCCTGGAGAGCATTTGGCACACTGCAAATCTATCTCAACAGGAAATAAGGTCAGGTTACTCTTCTCCATCCTGATCTCAGAGCAGATGATGACATGCTTGGACAATCACAGGACAGCCTCTTGATTTGGGAGAGCGTGGCTGAGCTGTGCAGCCAAAAGGGAGCTAAAAGAACTGAACCACTGCAGTGCCCCAGTGCAAAGCCAGGTCAACCCCCACCTCTGATGGCTGAAATCCTAAAGCAAAGGGGCTTGGCAGACAAGCAAATTTCAAAGGAAGTTCCTACTTGCTCAAGTCACTGGCTCCCCTGCTGCAGATTACAATTCCCCTGGTCACCCTGATGCAATTGTTTGTGAGGCTGCTCAGTAAATAGACTGCAAACATGAGCCAGCTTGAACAGGGTCTACAAAAATGCACTAAAACAAATTCTGTGATCCACTTTCCAACACCAACCCATAAACAACAACAGTAAAACAAAATGGGTGGAACGCTGTATTCCAGAACACTACTTTGTTTGACTTTGTTGAAAAAAACAACATATATTGCAAAATTACACTGAAACATTCACAGAATCCCTTTTGTGGCTGAGGGCATAAGGGAGGGAAGAGGCAAAAATACCCTAAATAACTACAATTTTTTCTATATACTTTTTCCATGCATGGTTGGTCCTTTCAGACTAAGCTATTGCAGTAACACAGTGAACAATGCACAAGGTTTTTCTTGAATGGTCAAATACTCTTAGGTCTAATGTAAATGCTTTGCTTATTTTTACTCAACTAAAAAGTCAAGGATAATATGTCTCTTTCTGTTAGGAATAGAAGAAAAGTTACTTGTCTTCACATTTACTTCTTACAAAATATTCCTGTTGGGAAGGTAAAAGGAAGGAAAGCCCTTTCAGCTGCAATGCAGAGGACAAGCCAATGTGCATTTAGTTAAATGTTACCACAAAGATTTGGACTGCCAAGTAAGCATTCTTCTATCATCACAAAGACACTTTTAAGATCCAAAGCTGCATTACACAGAAATATTAAGTAAAACGCTTTCCTTTTTAATCTGCACTGTCAACTAACAGCAATCCAAGAGCAGCATTAGAGCTGTAAAACAACTGCAGTGAAATTCCTGCTCAGGAACCTACTGCAGTGCCTGCAAGAGGGCAAGACTCTCTTCATCTTACCCCTCCTTACACAACTTCACCCTCACTCCTCAGACAGAGATCTCCGAGCACGAAAACCAAACCAGCAGGAAAAAAAATAACCCAGTGGCAAAGTGAGCACATGAATTGTGTATTGAACAGCTCGTGAGTCAGCAGCTCCCAGTCCTGCAGGCAGCCAGCCACTCTGCTTCAGCTTTTTCCACTGAGATACCTGAAGTATTTGGAGTTTCCTGGGGAAAAAGCACCACTAACAGGCTCTCTTGGGACTGTGGGGCTCACTGCTTAACTATGCCCTGGATTTTACTTTAATAGGAATCCAAAACTGAGTTACTTTATTGCACTAATAGACAGTTCTCTTCACCTCCTCTGAATTGTCTCAAAAACATCATCCTGAAGTGGAAACAAAAACTGCAGTTACCTGGCATTACCCTCCAAACCTAGCCTGGTTTTAGAAATGCCTGACCACTGAGCCACCACTTCCAGTGCTGTGCTGCAAACTGGATCACTGGAATCATCAGATTAAAAATAACCCTTAAAAAAGGGGGTCAGGAGCAGGAGGGAGGCTCTATATTTAACCAGATAATTTCAATGCTGTGGTTCTACCAATTACAGCAGCACAAGTGTGCACAACAAGCTGCAAGGTGACAAGGTAACCTCTGCCAACAGCTGGAGTAAATCGTTAGTAATTCAAACTCTACCACACAAGGTAAGAAAAGATGGAAAGGACATTCCAAGTTTGTCTCCTTAGGTATCTCTAAAACTGAATGAATGTTTTTGACAGCACAAAAGCAATTAAGATAACCAAAAATTTAAACAGCTGTGTAATACAGTTTGCATTAAAGCCAAGTAAATGCCAAGTTAAAAATTAGAAGTTTGTTAACCTGTTTTACATCTCTGCATTGTGATTTGTTTGCCCACCACCATCACCTCCACACTTTTCATGGCTTTGCAGCTAAAACTGCCCAGAAATGACCAAAAAGCCCCACAAACCAAAACCAGTCTTCTATTTCCTCAAAAAAAGGAAAAAGTAAAACACTTAGCAGGGAAGTTCAGAACCTCTCAAAACCCACCAATTCTGAGCAGCTGTTTCAGTCCTGAGTTAGAACCAGGAAGATGGAAGGATACAATAACATCAATACTCCAGAACACAAAACACTTACAGGTCTTCTGTTTCAATTGAATTGATTTTTTGAGTAACAGTAGTAGATATTCTCGTGGGAGGGTTTTTCCCCACAGTCTGGGAAGTTTGATGGTTTAGAAAAAATATCTGCATAATGTATTAGTTTTTAAACAAAGGACAAGGACACATCAATTCTGAGACTGCAGTTTCACGATCAGTTAACCCCAGAGGGGGAAAAAGCTTCTTCAATAACCAGAATTAAATCACAGAGGAGTGGAACCCCAAGTTTTGGTGACTGCAGAGGTTTCTTTCCTAATCACCACCATACAGGATTTCCTACATAAACACACTGAATTAACAGGGAAGTTGACTACACTGTAGAAGACACGGATTTTGCTCTACACATAATTTTTGTTCCAAAAAGTTACTTTTACAAATGAATTCTAGAGCACAAATGTGTCTCTCCTAACACATTCTGTATGCCTTTTTCTTCAAACAAAAACCATGATCCAAACCCCAGAGCGGCATCTGAAAAGCTGAAACTAGAAGATGTTTCACAGCTCCTTGGACTCATCATGCATCCAGTTAACTGAGCTCACTGTGAGACAATCCCTATTTTACAATAACCAGTTAAAACCAAAACAGACCAGCCTGAAACCTCAAAGCACCAGCACAAGATTTCACAGATAAACTGCTTGGGTTTTTTGACCCGAAGCTTGAGATCCAGAGAGGTTTCAAAGGAAGATTCAGGCTTACAATACACTGTCTGAAATTAATTTTACAATTTGTTCCATGCTAAACCTCCAAAGAATAATTTCAAACCAAACCTTCCAAGGAATGGTTTTAGAGCCACTCACAAGCCTGAACATTCAAGGGGCCCAAATCATGGAAAAATGCCCTGAGAGCTGCTACCAATGGGCAGCTTTAAGCAAGCTTCCTGCCACCAGAATGGAAAACTGACCCCAGCTTTTACTACAGATTCCTGTTTCCCATGGGAAATCCAATGGGGTTTCAATCCAATTTTACTGAACCAAGTCACATCACATTGAGATGTCCACCTGCTGTTCTGTGAGAGCTCTTGTGTAGCAAGGACAGCAGCACCTGTGAACTGCTCATTCTGCACCCAGCCAGGATTACACCGAGGAGGAAACTCAGACAAGCTGATAAAGTGACAGCAGCTCAAGTTACCAGGCACAGGCAGCATGTGCCATCTTTCCAACTCCAGACACCAAGCTCACATCAAGCTCTAAGCTCACATGTTACCCTGTGAACATCTGCCCATCCCCTAGTCCACGTGGTAGCACATTAATTATTTTGCCCCTTTGGCAGAACATTTGTTTGATGAACTGTTCTTACATGGCTCATGCCCTATTACACAAGATGAAAGCAAAAACAACTGGTTTTTTTTTTATTCAGCCCTGAAACAAAACCAGAGCTTGATCTACATTCAATTGGCTTAAAATTTGGAAAGGATTTTCTCCTCTAAAAACAAAAACCAGAAGAGCCAGGGAGAAGGAGAAATTGAAGGTGAAATATTTTCTCCTAGGGAACGTGGACAGCTGGCAGGATTCTAACCCCAGACACCTGACAAACACCTGGAGGAGTCCAGGCAACTTTCAAATTAACTAAACTTGTCAACATAAACTTGAGTTGCACATCTGAAGGTCCTGGAGAGAAAATACCTCTTTAATTACCCCTTTCCATGCACACACAAATATCTTGTCATCTAAGAGCAGAGGACAGCATTCCTATCTTTTCCAAATACAAAGAGATGAGGGGAACACAGACGTTTTCAGGCCATGTTTTCACATTCATTTCTGAACAGCAAATCAATTTATCCCAGTCCCTTCTAACAAAAGAAATACTCATTCTTTCAAATGAGGTCACATTTAGAAAAAGAAAATGAAAGTGTAACTAATAATCCAGTGGTTTTAGTTTATACAGAAACATTCAAACTAGTACAGACCAAAGTTATAAACATTATTTCAATTTGTATTTTGGTAGTCACATTATTTTATCCTCTGTGTTTGCAGGTAAACATCACAAACTTCACTCCAAAAACTCAAATTTCTTTATGAAAAGTGACCTCTCCTCTACTAAAAGCTGCACACTTCTTTTATTTAAAACCTAAGATGGTACCTCTTCCAGAGCAGTAATTTTTCATCCTTCAGAAATGTGTGTCTAAGTATTTAGTTGTGTTCATCCTGTGACACAAAGCTCTGAAAATCATCTCTACTGGCCTTCGTTAGCAGCTGCTGACAAAGAAAGGATTAACTGTCCAACTGAGCACAAGTTCCCAGTGAGATTTACTGCATTTCTCACCCACTCCTGGCTCTGCAGTTTCCAGAACAATTTTACTTTCTGGATGCTTGGAAAAATTAAAAATATATTCTTGTCCAAAGATGCAAAACGTAAGGAAATCCTGCTGTGTACAATGAGCTTTGTTTTAAGACACAAAGCATGGACTGCTCCTTTTACTAAAGAACATTATTTACTACAGAACTCTTGGTTCCCCCACCAAGGGAGAGGCTCAAGCCCACAAATGAGTTCCTTTGCTTTAATACACCAAAACCCGTTTCTCTCAAAACTTTTGTAGTGCTTATGAGTCCTCCTTCAGGAAGTTTCAGAACTTCAGCCCATTAAGACTTAGGAATCTTTGAACTTTAATTCATCAGTGAGAGACAACACTTTTCAGTGAGAGACAACACTTTTCCTTTTTAAGCCCCAGCCCTTGCCTGTTCTTTAAGCCCACATTGCCCAGCACAGAGTATTCAAAAAATAAATGCTTTCAGTAATTTTCATGGAACATCTTCCAACAAAAGCCATGTCCAGAAAAAAAAAGGGCACTTTGTCCCCTCTACTCACTTAGTAAAACACTAAAACTCCACTCAAATAGAATAGAATGGCTAAGGCAAGTGTAAATTATTTAAAAGTAAATAAAAACACTGCTCCCAAGGACCCTCACAGCAGTAACACTGTGCTTTATCCTCCACTTACTAATTTTGGTTTTTAAAATACACACTTTTAACGTTATAAAAAATATTTTCAGAGGATTTTTGTGTATGTTGGGTACAACAGTTAATTTTCAAACAATTTTTTTTTTGTATTAGAACAACTAGAGACAGAAAGATCAGCTTTCTTTCTCAAGCTGAGGACCAGTATTGGCTGTGCAGATATTCCTGTGTATTAATGCCAAGTTTAAGACAGACATCTTGTCCTGTCTACACACAACAGACATGGAGGAAAAGCTCCTCTGACTCTAAAACTTACCTAAAATGGCCTGGCTTGCTGCTTTTTGCCATGTCATCTCTAAAAACCAGGAAAATCCCACATTCAGTTTTGAAGTGGGAAGCTACACTGTACACAGTGTATTTATACAGTGTATTATTGATACACAGTGTGTTATTTATAGGTAAAGCACAGCTTCTCTCCTTTACAACCCACCTGTACAGACTAATTTACTGGGAGTACTTCCACCTTATACAATATGGAACACTATGAAAAATATCAAAAGTGACAGTTAAAAAAATTAATAGAGCAGTTATTCTGCTAATTCACTTCTAAAATTAATAAGAGCTTTAGGGCTCTAGCACAAATAATAAATTTCTTAGGGAGTAATTTTAGCTTGGCACTGTGGTGTTTTGAGGCTATGTATTAGTTCTTTTTCTGATGGACACCTCATGCTCTGGAGGTTGTAAAGCCCTGCGAAGCTCATTTAATCTGCCACCACCGAGAGGGTGCAAAACACGCCGCGAGTAACCACGGCAGCCTTTTCCTCCCGTGCCACAACTCGAACCGTCCGAGCACCAGGGATTGAGTAGCTGCTCCTTCTAAAAATAACCCGAGAAAGGCCGCTTCCAGCTGGGCTCAGGCTCCCAAAGAGTTGAGCTTAGGGCGATGGAAAGCGAGCGGTGACACTGGGGCGGGGTGGGGTGGCCCCGGCTTTGTGCGGGCGGCACAATGAGCTCCGCCGGGGAGGCCGGGCAGCCGCCATGTTACAGCTCCGCGTCCATGTGCCCGGCTCCGGGGGCACCGCAGCCTCTGCCCGCCCGCCCCGCGGGCACCGGGCGCGCTCCGGCCGCCGCACGGAGCGGGGATGTGGGGAGCCGCTTCCCGGGATGGCGCGGCTGGGAAAGGCCCCGCCGCGGGGAACAAAAGGCGGAAGGAGAGGGAAGGGGAAGGGAGCGGCGCCGCCGAGGGGGCTCCGGGCAGCGGGGACGAAGGGGGGGTCGGCAGCCGCAACCCCTCCGCGCTCTGCTCCGCGAGCTGGGGGGAAACTGGGCCGGGTCCCGGGGCGACGGGAGGGCGGCCGGGGATGAGGCAGGGGAACCCCGGGAGGGGAAGGGGACAGGCCGGGGGAGCGGCGCTCGCCCTTCTGGAACCTTCCAGGAGGCGGCCTCTGGGGGCCACGCCGGGAACAATCCGGGAGGGCTCGGCGGAGGGCCCGGCACAAGGGAACGGAAGGGAAACAGGCCAGACCGGCTCGGGGGCAGGGGCGGCCGAAGGCGAGGGACAAGGCGGGTGGGCACCCGAGCTGGGCTGGGGGATCTGAGGGGACGTGAGGATCACCTTCTTCTTCTCCAGGTTGCGCAGCTTCTTGTCGATAACCCCCAGGATCTGCTTCATGGCCTCGGTCTGCACCGTGGTGATGTTCACACCCGCCGCCGCCTGCGGGGCCGCCGCCGCCGGGGCAGCCTCGCTGCCCGGTCCCGCTTTGCCGGTGGTGCTGCCGGTGGTGCTGCTCGCCATGGTGCTGTTGGTAGCCGAGGGCATCTCTGTGAAGGAGGGAGGGCGGGCGGGCGGGAGAGAGAGAGACAAGAGAGCGGAGAGAGCGCCGGGCGCGTCACGGGGGGGAGCGCGGACGGCGGGGACGCGCGGGAGCGCGCACGCGACCGCGCGCACCCGAGCCGCACCTGCCCCGGCGCGCGCGCCCCTGAGGGGGCCCCCCCCCCCCCCCCCAAAGCCGCCCCTCCCTCCCTCGGCGCGCGCGGGGCGGCGGTGGTCACGTGACGGCGCGGGGCGGCCGCCTCGCGCCCAACGGTCATTTTCCCCTCACGCTGCCCTTCCCCCCCCGCCCCGCTCGGGGTGTCCGGAGGGGCCTCGCCGCCCTCCTCACCCTGTGCGCGACTGAGCCCGGGGGGGACACGCTGCGCTCTCTCTCGCTCGGTAGGAATGGCCGCCTCAGCCACGCTCCAGCCCCGCCGCCCGCGCTGCTCCTGCTACCACGGGAGAGAGAGAGAGAGAAGAGAGGGAGGCAGGGAGAGAGAGGCAGCGGCGGCGCGCACGCCGGCGCGTAGAGGCGAGGCGGCGCGGGAGCGCGCGGGGTCCTGGCCGGCTCGCGGGTTCCCGCGGAGAACGCCTGAGCCCGCGGCGGCAGCTGCCGCGCTGCCCGCGCGGGGGAGGCGCGGCGCGGCGGGTCCTTCAGGCGCGCGGCGGGCGGCCCCGCGGCAGACACAATGGTGGGGCGGCCCTCAGGGGATCCTGGGTGTCCCTGAGGGGCTTCCGGGCCGCCCGCCGCCCGCTCCCGGTACTAACGCCTCCAAAGCGCATTTCTGTGCCCTGCGGCGGGTCCCCACACCGGGGGAGCCCATCACGGCTGTAACTGAGCCCTAATAACCGCAGCTCAGTGGCCGGGAACAGTTGCTTCGTCTGTCTGTCAGGCTGGGATTTGCGTCTCCAGATATATCCCTGTATGTCCCTACGATCACCACGTAACGTGTGTGATGTTAGTCCTACACGTTCCAGTCACCAAAAGCTGCCACCACTCAGTAAACCTTTACTTCTATGCTAGCAATTTATTCTTTCAATATTAATTATTTCAGTGTTAATAAATAAAATACAACATGGGGGTTTCTGTGAGGCAAAGGGAATTTTGGGATGAATGCTCCAGCTGCTTAGTGGGGCACAGCTGGAAAATGAAATGCCACTGCCTTCAGAAGCCTGGGAGCTAAATGGGAAAGGATTTGGTATTTATTGACTTGTCTTGGAATTAATGGGTGCAAAACTTTGGGAATAGAAATACCTGAAAACCCAGTTCACAGTATTTGCACGTGGACATTGGAAATTTTGTTAAAATAAACAATTAAAGACTGTATTTGTACCATTGTTTTTTAAATTGTTGGGTTTTTTTCTTTGCTCTCTTTATTTGTGGATCCACACAATCAATGGCATTGGAAAGAAGGAAAAAGCCCAGTTCCTTGAACAACCTGATGGTTCCCATCACCAGAAGGGAGATGTCTCACAGCCCTTCCTCAGCAAGTCCTTGCCCTTGTTTCCATCCTGGTTCTTGCTCCCTAGGAGTTAATTCAAGCTGATAATCCAGAAAGAAACTGGTAACTCAATGGGAAGATTGTCCCTCTCTATTCCATCTGTAAATATTGCTCCTTATGCTTCTGCTTTCCATGTATCTCTGCATTTTCTGGAGCAGCTCAATGCTTTGTCATTTTGTATTAGATATTTGCTTTACAAATCACTTAGTTTTGCATAACAGGTTATGGGACATGTAATAAATCACCCAGCCTAATTATTTCAGTTGAATAAATGATGTATAAAATGAAATCTTCAATTGTTGAAAGTCCTTTTCACTGCTCAACAAAAAGATTTTTGTAATACCACTGTATTTTCTAAATTCCATTGTATTTAAAAGATTTAATTTCTATGGATTTACTTCTCCAAGCCCCATACTTGGGGGTTGAGATGACCTTTTCTCCCCAAGCAAAATGCAGTTTTTCTGTCAACATGTGAAGCACTTGAGACTTTTTGACCACAAAATACAATGGTTTAAAATAATATGGAATTGTCTCACCCATTCCTATTCATTTCTCCTTTTCCCTCACATTGCCATTGCAATTCTCCATAAGTTCTGGGCATAGCTTAGGCAGATTTTTCAGCCAAGCTCTGATAGAGTTTGTACTCAGAACCTTTCGAGGTGTTTATTCTTCATGGAGAAGTGAAACATGAGGTAGCAAATGTTGATGGTTTCAGAAATAAAGGAAGTTAAAAAGGAATAAAGTAAATAAAGAAAGGAAGTTAAAAGGAAGTTAAAATGCTGCTCTTGAGAGCAGTTACTGATGAGATCACCCAGTCAATCTCAGCTCCTGGAATATTTCTTACTGCTTAACCCGTGCTCATCATTTCAGGCAGCTCTTGCTAGGAGTTCTTGATCTACCCCTTTCTCACCATTCCTGTAGAAACAGCAACCACAAATTCCTCATCCTTCTGTGCCAACAGTATTGATCACCTGGCAGCACCTGGCAGAGGAAAACCTTGCAGAATCCCCAGTAAGAGCTGAGACCTTTGCTTGGAGGAAGTGTTGCTGAGCTGTGGGTAAACTCCATCCTGGCAGCTTCCAGTGTGACAAGCTTGTAATCAGCATGTGGGTCTGAGCATTTCCATTTCTCAGAGATAAGTATCCCTGCATTTCGTGTTTGGGAGCTCTGTAAAACGAAGGTCAGCTCTGGAGCTGCTGGGTTTGGAGTCATGCTTGTTCAATCCCCAGGGAAAGGCCTGAGAGCAGAGAAAGTCCCCCCAGCAGAAGCACTTCCACAAATGGGAGCCTTTAGAATGCAGAACTGCTCAAGATGAGGGAAGTCACATTCCTGACCCTTCCCATCTCAGATTTCTTCCCTTTTTGCTCTCTTTGCTCGGGGACTTTTCACCAGCCAAGCCTTGCCACTCCCTCTGGGGAAAATCCTACAGGGAAGTACTACTACTCCTCCACCCCCTTGTCCTATCTCCAAGTGGAAAAGAAAAAGGAAAAATTACACCTTTTTTCCCCCCCCCCCCCCCCATGCCCTAAAAACTATTTCCAAGCAAAAGCAATGTCCTGGACTGTGGGAAATGGATTTGTAAAGAATTCTCAAAACCTGACAGAAAGCTCAGACAGTTTTGTTCATCTGTATACAAAGACTAAGATAAAGTGTGCTAACTTTAGAAAGCCATAGAATAGAGAGGACATTGTTAAGAGAGAAATTAAACTAAAACCAAGTTTCAAAATATAGCCTTACAAAAAGACTAGATATATTAGAGGATTAGAACTGTGAAAGATGCATTGTAACAAGACCACGTGGAGAAAAAATATAGATGATTAGTGTTAGAAGTAATAGTGACATCATGTAACAAAAACTAATGAGCTGAAAAACATTTATAAAGTATTGTAACCAAGAAATAAGTTAGCTTTTGATAGAATAGTGTTAAGTTTTACATCTCTCGTGTCTCGCTATTCATCAAGACTGATAATAGAATAAAATCTTTAAAATGTCTCTCAGTTGCCCCATCTCTGTAAAAACTAAGAAAACCAACACCAGGTTGCGAGCTCCAGAAATGAGCTGTGTCTCCCTGCAGCTCCGCCAGGCTCTGACCCTTCCTGCAGGTCATCAAAGCACACAAACAGAGATGGGCTCCTGTCTTCCCAAACCTGGCATCCCTTCCCTGTGTCCTTCCATCTTCTGGTTCCCCACTTGTCCAAAGCTCACCAGCCTTCCCACCCTGCTGATCTGTTTCCAACTTCCCCAGACCAGGAACTCTGGCCCACTCAGGGCTCTCTCCTTAATCACCACATCTACTCCCTAGTCATATTCAGAATTATCCTGAACTATATAATGAAATGAACACAATTAATAACTTCAATTTTTTCTGTGCTGGGTTGTTTGGGTTTTTTAGGTTTTTTTTTTTTTTTTTTTGGTTTGTTTTTTTTTAATAGGCTCCATAAGACTAAAATGAAATTTCCTTCCTGCATGTTATCACAGGCCTATTCATCAAGCAGTTCCCTACCTGAGCTCGTGGAATGTTATGGGATTTCAGCATTGCTAGTGTTCTCTCGGGTTCTAGAGGTAACCACAGCCTAAGAAGTTGAAAAGCAAATCCCATCCTGTAGGGGGAGAGAATGTAAGAAAATAAAGGGGTAAGTAATCTTACCCCCTAAAGAGTTGCAGCTGGGCTAATTATTAAAGATTAGGAGCAGGCCTGGTTTTAACAGGCCACAGCTGTAGCCAATAAAAAGAATACTGTTATAAAAGAGTGGATTGGTTGGTTGAGGGGATCTGGAGTCAGTTGGCTACTGTGAGAAGAAGGAAGAGCCACTGCTTGGAGAAGCTGCCTATGAGAAACATCAAGGAGGTAGGAAACTCTAGCAATATGGAACCTGTGCAATATTATGACAATAGAACTCTTAGGATATGATGAGAACAAATGGTGACCCTGATGTGATTTGGGAAAAATGACTCAAATACTAAACTTCATGACCCTGTGCATTTGGGAAAAAGGTTTTAAATACTAAATGATATGACCCTGTAGTGATTTGGAAAAAGGAATTAAGGATCCACCAATGTAAACCTGTGGTGTTTCAGGGAAGAAGATTTAAACATTAGGCAATATGATCCCATGGTGATCTGGGTAGAGAACTGTATGAGGAAAAGCAACAAAATTGAAAGAGGAAGGAGAGAATTTGCCAAAGCAACTGTAAAAACTGGAAAAGCAGTAGTTCTATTTAGTACGGTGTGTTTATTGATTGGTAAAATATATCAATTGCAGCTCTTAATGTTTGTTAAACATGAGTGTAAAAGATTTTGAAGATAAGTACTTTGTAAACTGAGAAAATCTGCAAAACTGAACCAACACTTAGAAATACATATATTTGTACTGTAATGTGTTGTCTGAACATTTGTGTAACTATTAGCTCTGAATGAAATATATGAATGTGTCATAATTTGTTAAATAACAACAACAAATTTGTTAATTAACACATAATAATGTGTTAATTTATTTGGACATGTACTACTAGGAATGCTGCAACTCTGTAATTAAAAGAAAAAGGGGGAATTGTAGAGGGATAGAATATAAGAAAATAAAGAAATATATAGGAAGTAATATATAGTACTGAGTAGTATATAGTATACAATATAGAAAGTAATCTTAGCCCCTGAAAGACTTGCAGCTGGGTTAATTATTAAAGATTAGGAGCAGGCCTGATTTTAACAGGCCACAGCTGTAGCTGATAAAAAGAACAATGTTATGAAAGAGTGGATTGGTTGGTTGAGGGCATCTGGAGTCACTTGGCTGCTGTGAGAAGAAGGAAGAGTCAGTGCTTGGAGGAGCTGCCTATGAGAAACATCAAGGAGGTAGGAAGCTCTAGCTGTGCAATGTAATGACAATAGAACTCTTGCAATATGATGAGGACACCATTCCGCCTCTGGATTGCAGAAAATGGCAAGGACCAACCTCAGTTTCCAGTTCCTGGATTTGTTAAACAAGGATTGTGGTTGTTAGGTTTTGAGGGGGCCCACTCGGCACATTTC